GTCGTTTTTTTTTTTTTTTAATCAAATTTAAAGGTTCGTCGGAAGTATTGATCTAAATTATAAAATTCGACACAAACTTATGGCGATGACCTAATATGACCCTTTGACAAATGTATTAGATATAAAAATGAATTCTTTCCAACTTGATTCACGTACCTAATTGATTCAAAGCCATCGAGTTTCCATCGCGACGGTATTTGCAAGCTGCCAGTTAAATGGCAAAAAGTCATCAACAATAATGGAAATTATTTCGATAATTGATCTATTTTCATTATTTTCAAATAAAACTTCGGTTGTAGCCGGAAAGTCGGAAAGAATTTATTTCCACACCTAATATAATCCTTCCGCTTCGACAATTACCATATTATATGTTTAATTAAAAGGGCACTCGAAATGAGAGATTTTATACGCCGCAGAATCAAACGAATTTATTTTTCTAATAGCTCATTCAGCGGTTGTAATTACACAACAATTTCATAACTACATAACTTTTCTGCTTATCAGTTCGCGAAATCCTCTCGTTATCGTAGCTTCCGTTAATTACACAGCTCTGTAACTACTCGATAATATCGTATCGAGGTTGAGAGAGAGATGGAGGGAGGAACGAGTTTATAGTCCCACTTGAATTTTGTCGATGAACTTCAAGCAACACGGCCCTTTAGAACCACTCTGTCGCAGTCAATTAATTCTTCTTAAAATAAATGCTGTTCCACTTCGGCTATTGTTTCGAATCAAAGACAGACTTCTCTGAGAGAGTTAAACGCTTGAAAATGAATCGACGTGTTCGGATTAACGGCGGTTGACATCCATTCGTCGAATGACTTGAAATTATTGAAATAATGACGATCAGCTGCATTAACTGCGTTAATCGTTGCACGAAGTACCAAAACCGTAACTTAATGGAAACGGTCCGAGTCCTCGTCAGAATTCGTAATATTCAGTCAGTGTGTGTATTATGAAATCAACGTGTCTCTGCTACTGAAATGTCAGAAAAACATGTTATTCTTCTTTTGAGAATTAAGAGTGGTGGAAATAAATTTTAAGAAATAGTGCTTTTTTCAGAAAATTGAGAGTAGCAGAGGTAAAATTTGAAGAACGTTATTTTTTCGAACAATTAAGAATAGTGGTGAATAAATTTTTGGAAACATTATTTTTTTCAAAATATTAAGAGTAGTGGAGATAAATTTTGAGTAAAATTATGTTTTACGAACAATTAACGATTTTTAGGAAAAAGATTCGGAGTTTGAATCGTATTACACTAATTAATAGTAATATTTTGTGAACCTTGTGAGTGCATGATTTAGATTAATTTATGTAAAAAGTAAATTAGTGGATATTATTATTTTGTAGAAATTGTTTGGATAGGGAAGTGAAATATAATGTTATTAAATATTGTTTCTATTAAGAGTAGAATATAAATGAAAAATTTCAAAGACTTTAATTAGATTTTGTTATTAATTTACATCGGTCCGCTAATATTCCTCTCAGATTTACGATTAAAAATTAACGAACCCTCATAATTAAAACTTCTTTTCGTACAGTATTAACTTTGTAGTTTCGATATACATTTGCATATTAAAATATTTAGTGTATGCATATTAAATATTTAGTTAATTATTAAATGAATCAAATATTCAACTTCCTACGAATAAATGTTTTTAGATATGAAGTAAGCTCCGCATAAATAGCGCTTTTAGGCAGCTTTGAGAAATTTTTGCATGAAAACTATCAGTGCTATTGAAATGAAATTTTGCACGATTATTACTCGTATATTTCTCTGTGTGTTTACTTTTTTTTCATGGAAAAATACGGTATAGTTTTTGTGTGACGTGTACCGGAAGTAACCCTTGCGCGAAAAACAGGGTTTTTAGTGTGCAAGATTTTTCGACTTTGGCGCATGTGAAACAAAAATGCCGTGAGGGGCCGATTATTTAATAGTTGAGGTCGGACTCCATCCACTCTGGTTGATTAATACCAAAGAATAACAAAATGGAGGCACGTCAAAATCGCTCTTCGAATTTTGCCCAAAAATCTTTGTTTCTCGAGCCCTTAAAAAATAGTAATTTTCCGAATTTTAGAATTATAGAGGATGATGCCTTACCTACCTGCATACTGAAGATGTATGCAGAATTTCAGAAAAATCCGTTGGATAATTTTCGAGAAATCTTGCATATGCTTTTTAAAAAAGTAATTTCAAGGAAAACGCGTTTATAGTTTGTAGGATTACTTTTAATACTTAAACTGGAATCTCGCTGGGATACTAATCCAATCTCCGTCACTCATATCAACGTCGGTTTCTCGAGTTTCAAAAAATATTTTCGAAGATTCAAGGTACTCGAAAATGCAAATTCTAAAAATGACGAAATTCTTTATTCTTTAAGCCGAAGATCCCTTAAAGTGATTAAAATTGATACGAATCTACGAATAAAAATTGAATACAACTACGAATCGTGTTATCCTAAATAACTTATCTCCGATGACAAGAAATGTAAAATAAAAGTTTCTCGTTCCTCGTCATTTAACTCTCTTTCCTTCGTCATATTATTAATGCTTTTCGCTTCGTTTCGTTGCGAAACTTTTTCGTCCTAGATGAAGCACGAAAAATTTATCAAGCTAAATAGATTACGTGTTATAAATAATGGACAAACTTCCTTTCATCTCCGTGCTTCAGTTTTGTAACTTGCTAATTATCGTGACGCTTCTTTCAGTTACTCGGAAAGTAATTTAGCCGGCGAGATTCGGATTAATTAAACAAACATACGCGTCCACGGGCAGGTAAACTGTTTAAACGTTATTTACCTCTGGAAAGCGTTTAAGCTGTGTGTAATTTTGCCCAAGAAAATATCACGTTATTCTAATAAATTTAAGTTAATATCAATTTCAGATCTTCCTCTAATATTGTTATAAAAACCTGTTCACCGTTGTAATTACAAATATTTAACGTGTGTCAAGTCCTTGAAATTTTATCGTTTGACGTAAACTCTAAGCTAATTTCATTTAGCAGAATTATATATACAAGACAAGTTAGTTGTCAACAGGAAAATTGTGTCAAACAACTTTTTTTCTCTCTCTCTCTCTTTTTATTACTACAAAGTTTGCGTTCGTCTCAAAGAATTTGAGAAGTTAAACCTTGGAGAAAAACATCGCCTTGCAACACAAATTCTCGTTAGCTAATGATATTACTATCGTCGTTAACTTGCGAAGATTCTGAGTCGAACGACGAGAAATTTCAAATAACTTTGATATCTTTACGGATTGCATAACGTCGCGTCATATGGCATCATATCATGTCAAATTTCCTACACGGATATCACTTGTCTATACGGGCTAATTTAAGCAACGTAATGGGACTGGAATGGCTCCAAATATCGATTTCAGCGAAAATTGGTGCAGATCTTTTAATTATTTTGCTTACAAATATTAAAGAGTTGAAAATTCTGAATAGCATGAAAGAGAAGCTGCTTTAATAATTAATTTTTATATATTAATTTGCAAATATTCATTTTTGTATATTCACTTGCAAAAGCTAATTTGCGAAAATTAATTATTAAAACAGTTCTCTTTTATGTTCTTTAGGATTTTCAAACTTTTTGAAATACACGTTTCATACCGTTAAATTATATTTTTGGTTTTGTAAGCGAAGGTAGCCAATTATAGGTGTTGCATCCCAAAGAATTTTTGCTGTGTTGATTAAACGACTTTCTTCAAATGTTCATTTAATAAGGATTATCTACTGTACAAATGTTTAACATTTCTGTACGTATTTTCAGTGACAAACTTCTAGACCTTAATTAAATAACAGCAGAGCCTCTTTTAGAGATTTTAGCAGTAAAAAACTTTATGCAAAGAACTATTAAGGTATAGAAAAATATATAAGTCAAGTGTATAATTATGCGTTAAAATGAAGAGAAACTTTTGAAATATCTAAATTGAATATTTTTAACGAGTGTTGCTATTCTTTGCATACAATGTATGGAACGATTGCATTACTTTATGGTGTTAAGGTTTAAAATACTGATACTTTTTTATATTGTCTATGAAAAGTACATTATTTTATTAGACTGGTGCAGATGAAAATATAAAATTTTCAACGTGTGTAGTTTTAGTAAAAATATAATATTTATTAATCCAAGTATGGTCTACTTATGCCTTTTTTAAAAAAATAAATTTGACAACAATTTCAACCAAAAGTGATCGTTAGAATTTGATCTTTTGTACACAATCTGCCATTTAACAATAAAA